GACGAGGCTGAGCAGCTGGCCCTGAAGGGCGGGAAGAAGCAGATCCAGAAACTGGAGGCCAGGGTGGGTCTTCTGATGGCACATTTCCTCATTCCAATCCAGGGCCTTTTGAGGACCTAGTGCTGCTGGATGAGTGGGGCATACAGAGATGGAATGAGACACATTCCTTGCTGCCAAAGAGCTTTTAAGGGGACAATTAGACTAGGGCATGAAACCTAGATATAAAACAGAGTGAAAGAAGCACCACAGGTCATTTGAAGAAGCAGAAATCCGTTGAGTGAATGGATCGCAGTAAATGTCTTTAAAATGCCCACGTTTTTACAGGTACGCGAACTTGAAGGAGAAGTTGAAAGTGAACAGAAGCGCAATGTTGAAACTGTCAAGAGTCTACGCAAACATGAGAGAAGAGTAAAGGAACTCACTTACCAGGTAAGGAAAATGGCTAGTCTAGGTTTTCACCCTAGTTTGCAAGGGATCAAAAAGCAAATGTACAACAAAATGTCATGGTGTTTGTACTCTCAAGAGACTCACTCTTAAAAATATTATTTCAGACTGAGGAAGACCGCAAGAATGTGCTCAGGCTCCAAGATCTCGTGGACAAACTGCAAGCGAAGGTGAAAGCTTATAAGAGACAAGCTGAGGAAGCGGTGAGTTCCGAACCCCTTGGAGTGACTGAGCAGCCTCTGGTCTCAGATATGGCAGAACCACTTCATTTAAGGGATGAAAGAAAAGGAGGGTATGGTGAGGAAGGATCAAAGGAAAATGGCCAATGACATTCTAAAGAATGAGAAGAAACCAACCACTCAAGGAGCCAGGGAAAATGGTTCCAGGGAAGGGCAAGAGCAACAAAATGCTTTTGAGTGGAAAAGAGTCTGGTTCAAGGAACAGAAAGAACCACGGAGAGAGCAGTAGAGAAGAGGCAGTAGAGTGAGGTAGGAAGCAGATCACAGGGTCTTCTAGGCCCTGGTAGGAAGTCTGGATTGTATTCCAAGTACAGTGGGACCCTGGGAAGCCACAGGAGGGTTCTGAACTGCTCAGTCATGCCTGGGCTTATACTCTTTAAAGTATATTCTGGCTACTTTGTGGAGAATGGACTGTTGGGTAACACAGGCAGTACAAGGAGACATTTTATGAGGCTTTCCAGGAGGTCCCATGGCTTGTGTTAGAATGGTGGTGGAGCAGACAGAGTGGAGAGACTCAAGACACATTCTGGAGGGAGAAACTACTGGATATGCTAAAAGGTCGCCCTTGGGAGGCGAGAGAGAAAGGAAATCAAAGGCAATTCATCCAGTCTGTGATTTGAATAACCAGGTGGATGGCACAGCAAGGACTAAAATGCGGAACTAAGAGAGGAACAGATTCACAGGGCAAGAAAGAAACAGGAATTCTGTTTTGGAAACACTGAAATACCACTGTATACATAAGTGAAGGTGACAAGTAAGCAGTTAAATATTAAGCCTGGAGCTCAGAAGGTCCCGCTTATGTTCAAACCACTGAGCTCAGAAGATCTTGGTTATGTTCAAATCAACAGATTCTTGGCACTCCACCTTATCTCACTTCTCCAGCCTATGATTTATCTTAAATAATAAATATTGCTGATTTCCTAAGTATTTAAGTATGGGTATATATATATATATATATATATATATACCTACTTATCACAAATTAGTTCCTCTGTCCATGAATGGTTTTCATTTTTCTGCTGACCTCTAAGGTCTGGGGCAGGGAGTGGGTGCGGTGGGGGGGGGGGGGGGGGGGTTGGTGGTGACAGAGAGACTTAACATGTCTCTCTGGCTCTTACTTTCCTCATCTATAAGAGGAAGATCTAAGGTTTTTTTTCAAGCTCTGTTATTTAGTGATTCTAAGTTTTATTAACTTCAAAATTTGAATGCCACATTATGGACGGCTGTCAATGAGCCTTTTAAAAAAGGACAATTACTAAAGACTAAACCCGAACTGGCCTTCCCAAACTCACTGATTATCTGTTCAAACATAATCAGAGACTACTCAAAACTATTTTAAGAAACAAGTTTTCTTTAATTTGTAAACTGCATTAAGTTGTAATAATTTATATTCAATGGGCAATAATTTATACTCCAGGCTATTAGCTCAGTATAACACAGGTGGTATACCTGCATTTTTAGAAGGTTTGGTTTCATTCACCAGACTCAGGGGGACAAAAAGTTTGGAAAACTGACATATTTAGTAATGGCTCTAAGATGTTTACATGTTAAAAAGGAGAACTTTTAGAAATCCTGGTGGCAAATGTCACCTGTCCCTCCTTGTTATCCATGAGTTCAAGAAGCATGCAAGGAAAATTAAAAATAAAAAATAAAATAAAAAAATAAAAAAAAATTCAAGAGCATTTCTCTAGGTTTTTTTTTTAAAAAAAAGGTTTAGTAGAGTGAAGTCTTTTCAAGTAAAAAGAAATTTGAGACCCACTGACCTAAGAAACTAGAAATCCTGACCTTTTTTCCCTCCTAAATGCATTTCCATTCATTCTCAGGAGGAACAATCCAATGTCAACCTCTCCAAATTCCGCAAGCTCCAGCACGAGCTGGAGGAGGCCGAGGAACGCGCTGACATTGCCGAGTCCCAGGTCAACAAGCTGCGGGTAAAGAGCCGGGAGGTCCACACGAAAATCATAAGTGAAGAGTAATTCAACCAAATGCTGAAAAGTGACCAAAGAAATGCACAAAATGTGAACATCTTTGTCACTCTGTTTTCTACTCCGGAGTTTTGCAGATAAAAAATTTATCCGCAAATAACTTGTGAGTCTCTCTTTCCACCCGCCCCCCCCACCACCCCCGTGTCAATTAATCTTTTTCTGCATCAAGAAGAGAAGGAAAGAGATTTTGCTTATATCTTATGGAGAAGGATTTAGTCACCAAGAATAAAATAGGATAGGAACAGCCAGGCCAATCCGTGTTGGTAAATGCCCTAAACCCCCCTTGTCCCTGGGGAGGGGGGAGCAGGTGAAACTACAGGTGGGCATTAGGTGTACACAACATGGAACATCTGATAAGTCTCACTTGGTAAAACATCAGCTAGCTATCAGAGAGGCTGATTTCTATTAACGAAGTAACTTATTTTCTTCATAAGATGGTAGGAAATTCTTGATCCCAAGATTGAGTAGAAATAAATTAAAACACTAATTAGCTACATAAAATAAGTGAAAATATAAAACGTTTGGATTAGACCCTCAACAATATTAACAATGCAAACTCTCCACTATAACTACGTGAACTATTAATTTGGGATTAGGGATTCCTTGAGAGAGAAATATTCTGTATATTTTCTAGTCCTTTTTAAATATGAGAGATTTTTTTCTTTTTTGCCACTGCGATATGTTTAGTTATTTGTTTTCCTGAGCTCCTCCCTCGTTGTGAAACGAGAGTTAAGAATGAATATATTTGCAGTATTTGTGCTCATTCTGGAAAGTTCGGTATCTCTTACAAGGCGTTCTCCCAGTACTTCTGACAGCAGTGGAAGGCCAATTAATCTTTTTTTCAGTCAGTTCCCCCTTCTCATTATTTTCTCTCTGGCTTGCGACGCTGTGCCTTTCTACCATGCTGCAGCAATTGTCCTCATCATGATTAGAATTGGTATCACTACCAGGGAGCTACATGTGCGGGAGGTGGCATGGGCCTCCTCACCTCATTTTTAATAGACAAGGAGCAAGTAAAACAGCAAGTATCTTGTCGACCAGGAATGTAACAAAAGAACATACGAGAACCATACACCTCTTTAAAAAAAATTTTTTTTAATGTTTATTATTTTTGAGAGAGAGAGACAGAGAGCAATCAGGGAAGGGGCAGAGAGCGAGGCAGACACAGAATCCGAAGCAGGCTCCAGGCTCTGAGCTGTCAGCACAGAGCCTGATGTGGGGCTCGAACTCACAGACCGTGAGATCATAACCTGAGCTGTAGTCAGCCACCCAACCGACTGAGCCACCCAGGCGCCCCAAGAACCATACACCTATTTAAAAAAAACAATACCAGATTACTTTTTTTTTTTTTTTTTTTTTTTTAAACGATCTAGTCAGTTAAATTATCCGGCTGCACTCCTCTGGACCTCAGCTCCTGGGGGAAATCCCTCTGGGTTGATATGCACCTTCACTTTTTTTTTCTACTGAGCCTTAGAGACAAGTGTTCATCCTAATGCTGCATCCTGAGCTGTACTATAAATTAAAATCTACCCTTCCCTGATAGCAATGCTCCCCTGGAAGCTCTCCTAAGAGGTGACCTTTACTCTCTCAGGCTCTGAGAACTTAAGTTCTTAAGGAGCCCTGAGCTACAAGCAATATCCTGCCTCCATCCCCAGTGCTGCTCATCCTCTTGTAGAGAGTTCTTCCTTCTTTGAGATTCCTGCTGTTCTGCTTATCCCCCACACCTGCTGCGGTCCTTGACTGACTTCCTTCAGTACGATTTTGGCCCTTCTTCTCTGATCACCCAATTTTTCCCACATTCCTGGGAGATTTCCTCATCCATATGGATGATGTCTCTAGCCCAGTGACTCCCATCCTCCACTGCCTTCTCGTCCCCTGCACCTCGTCCACAGTCCCACTCTGGAAAAGGCCCCAACATCACACTCACCAAATCAAGCACCACCTTTCTGATCTTCCAGCTTGCATGTTGCCCTATCCCTAATCTAACGTTCTTATTTAACCACACTGTACCTCCAATAATCTCTGACCTTTTATTTCTTCCATATTCATTAGCCCCTTTTGCTCTCCCAAGCAAGCAAAAATTCATTATCTTTTGTCCACTCTCTTCACAAAACCCCAAACTTGCTTGCCATCTCCTATCCCCTGCCACACTCAAGTGGAAAGAAACCAAACCTGAATGAATGCAACAGTTCACTGCTCCACATTTCCAAGGAAATGGTACCAGTATAAATTCCCAATCACGGACCCTGCTGGGCCTTCGGTGCTGGAGTTATGCAGTCAACTTGCTCAGTCCCTCTAGTTCTATTTCAGATCTCTGCTCTCCTCAAATCTCCATTCCCTGCCTTTGGCCCCAGAAGATGACCTCACATCCTGCTTAAAAGAAAAACTAGGTGCTCTCAGATGCCAATGGCCTCCCATTTCTGCTGCCAAGCCATATTCATCCTTCGAATGTGGAGGTCGCTCCTCCAATTTAAATTCAGGGCCACCTCATCTGCCTATTCTAAATCTCATACCCTCCCCCCTTCTCAGGATATACAGTGGACACTCCTTTTCTTCCACCTTCTTCTCAATATCTTGCACTCTACTGCATCCTATCTTAAAACTGTCACTTGACCCAATTCTTCACTCTAGTTCCTTTCTCATGTCTCTACTTTCTGACAAAATCTCTCAAAACTGTTACATATACACATTGCTGCCTTTCCTCACCTCCTCCTCAACTCACTCCAGGCTGGTGTTTGTTCCCTCCACGCCACCTAAATGGATCTCACTATGATCCTCAGTGACGTCTTCCTTGCTAAATCGAATGGACACTTCTCAATCTTTAATCACCTCAACCTCTCAATTGCATGTTACACATCTGACCATTCTCTTTTATGGAAATGTCTTCTTCCCTTCATTTCCAAAACTCTGACCTGCTTTGGTGTCCTTCATAGCTCCAGCTCTCCAGCCTCTCTCATTCTCCTTCATCATCTCATCTGCCTCTGTCTAACCATCAGAAGTTTTTGTGAACTCAATGTGATGTGGACCAAGTTTCCATCCTAGGCCCCCTTCTCCTCTCAGTTTACATTTCTCCTTGGATGATCTCACCTGCTCCCTTGGTTTCTATTACCATCCATAACGTATGGATTCCAAATTTACACCCCAACTCTAGTTCTGTACTCTGAACTCCAGGCTTGATGTCTCTGCTAATAGAAGAAACTTTAAACTCAACATGGCCAAAATTAATTCATGACCATAGCCTCCGATCCTTTAGCCTCTCTTGTAGAGAGGCTTATCACAGCGCATGGCAACGGTGATCATTCAGTTCCTCAATCTAACTATTTAGGAACCAGCCTTGAGACCGACCAACCTGTCCTTCACTCACCCATTTCCAATCGGTCATCATGGTTTTTTCTTCACTGCCCTGAAATATCTTTCAAGACCATCAACTCCGTCTTTTCCACCATGTTCCCCATCCAAACTGCCATCATCTACTGCCTGGTCTCCCACACAACTACTCTTCTTTCCTGAGTCTAAACCATTCTGACAGAATCTAAACTGCAGCCAGTGAGAGCTTTCTAAAAACAATACACTGGCCACATCACTGTCCCGCTTAAAGTCACCCCTCTTTTCTCATAGCATAAAGATTAAAATCCTGAGGATGGCCCTCGCCTACCCTGTAAGCTCCACCTTGTGATACACTCTGCCTTCCTCTTGTGTGTCTCAGCCTCACTGATCTCCTTTTTAGTTCTAGGGACATACTCTGAGCCTTCTCACCTGCCCTGGCTTCAAGGACCCTCTCACGTCTTACCTCTATACTTCGACTAGCTAGGGCCTATTCATCCTCTAAATCTGAGCTTAAATTTCACTATGTTAAGAAAAAGACCTAGACCCTCCCGAATAGGTCTGATTTCCCTGTTGTATGCTCTCTTTACTTATCACTTAACTAAACTGCAAATAAGTAATGTCATTCTCCCTCATTAAAATGGATGTTACATGAAGCATATATAGGTTTGGGGTCTTTCTTATTCACCCGTATATCCCTCCACTTGACATTGTGCCTTGACCAGAGTGTCTGCTCAATAATGACATTTTGGAAGTATGAATGAATGAAAATTTCCATACCTTTGAATTTGCTGCCTGCATGCCCTCCCCTTCTTATCCATCTGGCAAATGTTTACCCATTCCTTAAGTCTCAGCTTCGACATGGTTCCCTTTAAAGCCTTATTTAAGAGTCAAAGCATCCCCTGATAAGTGTTCTAGGACCTGCAGGTGGACGGAAATGTTCCTTTCCCGTACTTTCATCTCACTGTCCTATTCTCCTCACTTCTGCTGCTGCCTCTGACCATCATACTCTCACCTCCTCTTTTGTAAGTGCACCCTACTTATCCTTCAAGGGCACTGGCTCCAAGCAACCATCCCTAAAAGGAAGAAGAATCTCTCTAGAGCAATTACCTATACCTTCTCCTGTTCAATTATCCCTTCCTGTCTTCTCTTTCCCACCGAGATATTCTACCCCGTCTTATCTCTTATGTTCAGTTACTGCACCCTGGCCATGTCTCCTTCACAGTCACAGTATTTTGTCTTAACTCTCTCGTCCAGTTATTTCATCCTTTCTTATCTCTCTGCTCATTTATTGCATCCTGTATGATCTCTTCTGCCCAGTTATTCCATTCTGCCTTATCTTTCCCGCTCAGTTATTGCATCCTGTCTGATCTCTCCCATTTGTTTTTGCACCCTGTATTATCTCGCCTGCTCATTTGTTGCATCCTGTCTTCTCTTCCCCTCATTTATCGCATGTTTTCTTATCTCTCCTCTTCCATCACTGTATCCTACCTTGTCCTTCCCATTCAGTTATTGCATCCTGTCCTCTCTCTCTCTTTCCCTCTCATTTATTGCATGCTTTCTTGTCTCTCCCCTTCAATTACTGCATCTTGTCTTATCTATTCTGCTCAGATGTTCTATCCTGCCTCATGGCTCCTGTTCAGTTAATGCACCCTGTCTCTCTCTCCTCTTCAATTCTTGCAATCTGTCTGATCTCTCCTGTTACCCAAGGAAATTCCAGAATTTAGATTGATTAGTCTGGTTTACTCATTTAAAGAAAAAGAGTTGTATTTATTC